GAAGGTGAGGCCCCGTTTATGGTTGTTTTCAAACGTTTGCCTCTTAATTCTTATCTTTTTATTATATCTTTATTTAGTAGTTTGATTTATGAATTTTGCTGTAATATATTATGCTTATTTTATTCTTTTTAATTAGGCTCTTTCTAAGCTGCCTTTATCCTGCCGATGCAAGCTTTTCTTTGAGGTTTGGATAGTGTGATATACACGTAGATTCTTGATGTAGTCGTTTCTATTAGATCGTGGATGTTTATCTATATAGATTTGTGTTTTGGGGAATAAAATTAAAGAAATGGAACTGAAGGAGAAATTTGTACTTGGGATATTTCATATGAAGATCTCATGGCAGAAAAACAAGTCATATCTCTTGTTTTTTTATAGGAAATATGGCTCGTATTACATCATATACCGTATCACATATAGTTCCATGTTACTATTCCTTCTTTTGATTCCGGAATTAAGAATTATGTATTTTTGTATATTATGTAAATTTTTATATTGTGAACTTTTGTAGCTTGAAATTTCCCATAAATGGATAAATATCCATGGTCTACTTATCACGCTCGAAGTTCGTTTGCCTGTAGAACGTTCGGTGTGTTTAGATGTTCACTAGTGGTTAGAGAAGTTTGTGTAATATTGTAATATGGTGTTGGTACATCACGACGTTTACGCAGCTATGTAACCGAGCTATTTTCTAATCAGCTCTTGCACGAGATTCTTGAAATAAGGAGAAAGAAAAACGATGTTGATAATAGTGTTACGCCAGAAGAACGTGATGAGAATTCGTTCAAGGAACCTAAGAACCAATTTTATTTTTAGTATCTTTTTCTTTTCTATCTGTCTTTCTTCCTTTTTGTTTAAATATTGAAACGGAAGTTGAGTGGTTCTTCCGAACATAGAAGACAATCGAACGAAAAAGATTAAAATTTATGAATTGCAAATTAACATTTAATCCTTAGATCATTTAAGAATCAATTTTGCTTTTAGAATCTTCTTGCTGTTTCTTTATTGTATAATAATATTGAAATCCAGGTTAATTGGTTCTTATAAAGATGATTAAAAGAATGACAGCGGTGAGAATTTGTGAATCGCAAATAGAAGTTTTATAGTTAGAAGTTAGTCGAAGCGAAATGAAATCACGAAATTCGCTGATGCGCAAGCCTAGCTAAGTATAAAGCCACGCAATTTTTATAAACCTTTTATGCTTTATAATTAAACAACGACAATCTGTTTTCTTACGGAGAATGTCTTTCTTTTCTACATTAGAAAGAATAATTCACCTAGTAACCAATCTTCGTTGCTTAGCGATTGATATTTTTTTTGCCTTAATTTTTAAAAGCTCTGAAAAGGAATAAATACTTCACTTATCAATGCTCCAGTTTCTAAAATTGTCATAGTCAATATACTCCTAAAGAGACGATTTATTCGATCAAAATATCAAAAAATAGTAAAAAAAACGAGTCATCCGAAAGAAAACTGATTTCATACAAAAGCGAAAGGATGGTAGTGACGTTTCATCTCGCGTTCTCCAGGTGCAAGAACTTTCCCCGCCAGGTCCTTTCCACCTGACGGAACGACTTTCGCCCAAGTGGGTCTCGGACAGAAGCTCAGCAAAGAGATTCCACCATACAGCTACTGGAACATGCAATTCTACCAGTCGGAAGCCGCGTACGTGCGATTCGACTATAATATTCCTCGTGGAGCCAGTATCGGCGTCTACGCAAGAAGAAACGCTCTTCCTACGCACACGCAGTACGATCTTCTGGAAGTACTGAGTGGTTTCAAGGCCAGAACCACACGGGCGTCCCATGTTAGTGTTATTGTATGTGCCACTGCCCCATTTTTCTTTTTTTTTTTCTAGAATAGAATCATAGAAAGGGTCATTGACACGTTACGTGCCGTGAATTTTAAGTTCGGACGATTCGTATTGAGTGAGATGTGGTAGTTTTGTGGTTTGAAATACTTGAAAAAGTAGTGATTTATTTTTTATATTCTTGAAGAATGTTCGGTGATATAAAAATGAAGCAAATTAGTTTCTTCATTTCAAATTTATAATAGAATGCTTGTATTTAGTCGGTGCATTTGAAGACAACTACCGCACTTAACGTGTTGAATTTAATAAGATCAAATTATCGCTTCATTCTAACGAAATCTTTAAAAACAGTTAATTTCTATTATTTTTTTTTCTCTTAATTGTAACAGGAGAGAAGATCAAATATTCTGGGTTCTCAGAGATTTTTTTTTTATTTTTTTCCCTCGGAAGCACTTCTTTGGAAGTGTTTCATCTGTAGTAAAAGAATAGCTAGAAAAATCGATAAGAAATTACTAAAGTTTCCTGGTTTCTCGTCTAGCCATCGATCAAGAAGGAAGTGACGCACTATATGGAGCCTGGTCATTGGTTCCTTTCATTGTACAACGACGATGGTGATCCTCAGGAAGTGTCGTTTATAGCTATGATCGCGGAAGACATGACGCACAATTGTCCGAATGGCTGTAGTGGAAAGGGCGAATGTCTGCTGGGTCACTGCCAATGTAATCCTGGTTTCGGTGGCGAAGATTGCAGCGAGAGCGTTTGTCCTGTTCTCTGTAGTCAACGTGGTAAGTGAACATTTATTTAATATTAGTTTCAAAAAGCAAAATAAATAATATCAAGGAGAAACATTTTAGAAAGATCTGTAACTTGAGAATATTCCGAATTTAAACCTTGAAATCAGAGTTCTTACTGATCAGGTTGTCCGAAAAGTGTCTTTCTTTTACTTTCTTTTACGTCTTTTACAACGATGCATCTTTATAAAAACATGAAACTTAATCTGTCAAACTTAATCTGATCTTTATCTTAATAGAACAAAATGGATCATACGTAATTCGAAAAAATAATATAAAACAGAAAACGTTGTGCGTATTATTTCCTCATAAAACGAAAGAAACTTTTCGGACGACCTAATGCTTATGAACGTACTTACATCTAACTATCGTATATCTAACATTCTCTATTCGAAATTTCTAGCGAAACATGTGTCAATCGTTGCAATGTCTCATGGTTATGTTACAATTCTATCTAACCAGAACTTCGAGGTTCAATAAATTCCGGGCTTCGCCTTCGATTAAGCTTCACCTAACATTGCAAGGAAACAATTTCTTATGTTTCCGTTTTAACACCGTTTTATTCCTCTGGGCTACAGGCGAGTACATAAACGGAGAGTGCCAATGCAACCCTGGCTGGAAGGGCAAGGAATGTTCCCTGCGACACGACGAATGCGAAGTGCCTGATTGTAACGGACACGGCCATTGCACCAATGGAAAGTGCAATTGCGTACGTGGCTACAAAGGAAAGTATTGCGAGGAAGTGGACTGCCCTCATCCGACTTGCTCTGGCCATGGTTTCTGCGCGGAGGGCACCTGCATCTGTAAGAAAGGGTGGAAAGGAGCAGATTGTAGCCAGATGGACAAAGAAGCGTTACAGTGTTTGCCCGATTGCAGCGGACATGGAAATTTCGATCTTGAGACGCAGACTTGTCTATGTGAGCCTATGTGGTCTGGAGACGACTGCTCGAAAGGTAAGAGATATTATATTAACAGTAATCATGTATTGTATATATTAGATTGCAGTAGAATCTTCTTTACATAGGCAAGTTAATGGTCAGATTTATATATACGAATACATAGCTGAGCTATATATTCTGTCAAAATGTCCTGTTAATTCATAATATAGATTATAAATAAATATTCCTCTATTGAAATATTCGAAGTTCTCCGTGTTCTTATATAGGATTCGATATTAAGATCGTACATGAATAATGCTGAAACTTCAATAATATCACTGGTGATCGTGTTTAAATTAGTAATATGCATTTCAAATTCATTGGTCTTATCGGGAAATGAATTTCTAATTTGATCTAAATGACGATCGATAAACAGCAATGGTAGTGGTTGGTATGTAATCTGATGTAGATTATATTAATGTAGATTGTCTTAATGACGTTTTAAATTATTAATTTTAGCTCTTCAAAAGAATGTCTTTCTAAATTGTGTCGTAACTTGAAATGTTCTTCATATAATATGTATGAAAGTTCGCTTCAATTAATCGATTCTTATGATTCCAGGTGTGACATCGATGAAATTCTCTATTTTATATCCATTTCGTTCGTTCTTCCGGTTTTTTTTTACTCCTTTGCTAATTGTGATCATTGATCCAATTGCCCATTAGTGTTAACTAATTCCACCTTTTACAAAATCATAAAAGGTTTTCTCCCAGCTTCTGTGTTGCTTAGTGCCTACGCTAACTAGTGTTTCTCAAAGATATTCGCAAAATTTTGAAAAATTATATTAATTGTGGTTTCTGTTGCTCAAACTAATGATTCGTAATTGTTACAAAAATAGATGTAGTGACAACCAGACTGCGGACTTTTATGCACTTATGCGAAATTTAAAGATGCAAAAATATATAAAATATTCAAAATAGAGTAACAAATTTTTGATAAATAACAAATAGGAAATTTCGAAGAGCTAGAGAGTCCAAAGTAGAGAATTTTCAATAGTTAAAACAGATCTCTGTTTAAGTTCCATCTCTTCGCTCTGCAAAAATACAAATCTGCATACAATCCGCAGTTATCTAAGGACAACTCCTACAAATCCCTCTATTTATATAATAACAATATATTCCATAATTTTCAGAATTATGCGATTTGGATTGCGGTCCCCACGGGCATTGCGTTGACAATGCTTGCGACTGTTTGCCCGGATGGTCCGGCGAATTGTGTAATCTAAAGCAATGCGATCCTCGATGCAACGAACATGGCCAATGTAAAAACGGGACCTGTTTGTGCGTGACTGGTTGGAATGGAAAACACTGCACCATGGAAGGTTGCCCGAATTCCTGCTCTGGACACGGACAGTGTAGAGTCGGCAACGATGGTCAATGGGAATGCAGGTGTTACGATGGCTGGGATGGCAAGGACTGCAACGTGCTTCTTGAACAGAACTGCAATGACGGAAGAGACAATGACAAAGGTACAAAACGAGGAGTAAATTATTATTCATAATTCGACAAATTAGATTATAAATGTTATTATTTAGATCATTGGATATATATGTGAAGAAAATTAAATTGAAATTCTAGTTCAACACTACAATAAATAAACACTATCGCATATTTAAAAATATAAAATATATAATATATTAAATATATATAAAAAATTATTATTGGAATGATATGATAAAAATGCAGTGGATGTGATCCTCTAGTTACTTTAAGTAGGGTGCTTTATTTTATCCATGAATGGTTCTAGAGATAGAAATATGTTTGAGCATGTTTGAAAGTATTCTATTGACACACCAAATCGAGAAACGTGTAATTGTTTCTTAGGAACTTGTTACTGTATTTTGAAAAGTAAATAGTAAAGTTAGTATTAGAACAGTGAAATTAACGAAGTTGTAAGATCTATGGACAAGGTTCTACCTTCGTGTTTTCGCGTTTCATTTTCATATTACTTCGAGCTCTAAATCATGGGTGTGGCTTATGCCAGCCATTTAGAGCCATTAGTCTCCGATATAAAGAACCCATTACTATGCTCTATAACAAAAGAACGAACACAAGACGTTATACAAACGCATCTAATTTAACAAATGCGATGTGATATGTAGACTGTCGATTTCTATGCGTTTCTAGGAAATTCTAAAGTGATAATATGCAGAAAATGTGGATAACATGCAAAAATATGAAAAAGTACTTGTTACAATTTTAATGAATGAAACAAATGTTTATGCGCATAGGTATATTTCCTTAGGTATCGTAGATTATATCTTAATAGAAACATGAAATTGCATCAAAATTTGCTGTCTAGTGACACGACTATACGTCGAATGCGCCTAGCACCGATCATCTTTTCTAATTGCACGATAACGTACATACTTTCCAGACGGTCTCATCGATTGCGCGGATCCGGAATGTTGCTCGAATCATATATGTCGTAGCAGCCAACTTTGCGTGTCAGCACCGAAGCCGATCGATATACTTCTGCGAAAGCAGCCGCCGGCCATCACCGCTTCCTTCTTCGAGAGGATGAAATTTTTAATCGACGAAGGCAGTCTTCAAAATTACGCGCGTCAAGAAACCTTCAACGAGAGGTGAGTTTGTTCAGCACGATCACGTATTACGATTCTCCTTCGTCCAACGCGTCTCGTTACTTTAGAGAATCATTCTAACTGCAATAATAGGAATAATAACAGAATTATTATATAATAACACACACGCGTTATATGATTATTGTATATACTCGTGAGAAACGAATATATTCGTCGTACATTATAATACTTGAACGTGTCCGTCCCGTTGGTCCGTCCCAACTTTGATGTTACGTGCAATTCCTTTCTTTTTTTCTTACGTGTGTTCGATTAGACACTTGGAACAAATACAGTGAAACTCGGTAGCCACGACATATTATATATATATGATACGTAATGTCTTTTACTAATGACGTATACGTCTGAGAAGAACGCGTGTCTTGCGAGACGGCTAGAGTTTATCGAGGATTTAAGGAGATTCAGATGACTGACTAATACCGTCTACTGCTACTGACGCACATGCTGCGTCGTTTCGATTATCTGACAATAATACGAAGACTACAGGGAAAGAACGTAATAAGTCACATTTCCTACTTTTTACACAGAAACTTTACGATTCAGCGCATTGTGAATAAATCCTATTACCAAAATTGTCTATATATTTGGTTGTGAAGTTAAACAAGAGTTTTCTCATCCTCTTACAGATTTTCAAAATAATGCTCGTTATTGTATTACAATGTTGCAGAGATTAAAATATTGCTTGTCCGTTACCTTCTTCAAGCCATTAGTTATTTCTAAAAGACTTGCATCTCTGGATCTGACAGGTTGTTTTCATTTTCAATTATGTCATATAAAAGTTCTTCCGTTTGATCATAAAGCGAAGTTAAAAGCAGGAAATCAATAAAAATATACTTATCATATTTTTCCCCTGTGACCTTCGTATCATTCTTCGTGTTTTATATGTTTATTCTGTATGTTTTAATAAAATATTCAGAAAACAAATGTGTGTTAAAGAGATATTAATTATTATTTAAAAGAAAAATATTTCTAACAAGAGAAGTATCTAACGTTCAATGTAAAGCAACGAATGTGTTAATTATAAAAAGTAACCTTTAGCTGTCTCGATCTATGACAAGACACATGCATCCTCTTCTACCTATCTTTATCTATCTATATATATATTTTTTCGTTATACAAAAACACGAAGACGTATACATAGATATGATATATTCTCTGCGTTGTTGTGACCCGTGTGAAATCACATCCCAAAAGTTTTATACATATGTTTGTACGTACGTGTGCGCGAGCGTGTGCCCTGCACTGAACCCCCAGTTCTCTTCACTCTACACTCTCATTCTATACTTTCTTCTTCGACTATATTCGCTACTCTCTTAATCATTCAATATGAAATCGATCGATGATACAACGAACGATCGACGGTCTTCTCCATATACACTGTTCTTTCTTTCTTTCTTTCTATTTCTATTTCACGTGTCCGTCCGAGTGGAGCTTGCGTGAATGTGTGACACCATCTACGAGCCTCGAGCTTTATGCCTATGATCATTTATTAAAAGAGTAATTAAAAATCTATAGTAGTTCATGAAAGTATTTCAATATTTACCATGGAAATCTTTTTATGTGTGTATTGTGTGTGTTATGTAAAACATTTTGATAGTTTAACACAGACAGAATTGACGGACATTTATTATATAGTGTTTATATAGCATATATAGTAAAATTATAATTGTTACCTAATGCCTAAAAATATTACATAAAATTAAGACAAAGAAATTAGTGAATGTTCTTTATGTTTCGGATAACACACATAACGTATTCATAAAAGGTATCTACAAGTGTTCGAATACTTTTGTGAATCATTATATTTAGAACCGTGTTTTCCCAACCGCATTTCTGGAACTGATTCCTAAAGACTTCTGCCTAACTTTCTTTCGAAGATATTTTGAAACATTTCGGGACATTTCGAAAACTCTTCTCACGTGATCTCTCTATATACAAGATCTCTATTTCATCCCCTATTACCCTAACTTACCCTTACTAAGATCCTCGAATTTTTATTTTATTGAACAAAAAACTTTCAATGTTTGAAGATATTTGACATAAAATTGAAACGCAAAGCTTCTTTCTATCCTGGATTAACCCCGCTGCGTTCCTCTTATTCCTATACTACTATCCTTTTAATTCTTATATTTTAATTTTTATTTTCATCTCAAGAAACGAAATTGCTTTAATAAAAGAAATTTATCGAATAATAAAATTTATTTTTTTGGTGTATACCTAAACTTTAGAAACATAGATTTGGATTAAAAATAATCTAAAAAAACTCAGTAGGATTAATCAAATTATTTCTCTACTCATATATTTCCTTCCTTCTCTCTATTTTCTATTCTCTTCTCCATCTTCTATTTCTTCTTCTTCTCTATCTCTCCGTCTAGTTTCGCCTTTAATCACATCATTTTAACTCGGCTCTGTTTTATCCGTGCTGCCCGGTCAGTATGTTCTGGAATCACTTCAACACAAGGTAAGAAAGCTACTATGACCAAGGAACAAAAGAGATACAAAAGAAAAAAAAAGTAAATCAAAAGAAAAATGATATGAAAGTACCGGTTGCGAGTTCGTTTTGTAGAGTATAAGCGGTTGAATAGCTGCTGATGCTGTTTGACGACGTTTTGCATTATTATCATGTGTAACACATAATATAACAATTCCTGCATCCGAAAAACGAGGTTGATACGCGCGCGTTCAATTCAGTTTCGAGGACGAGTCTATTCACGACTTGTCGACATTTGCAAAGATCATGAAAATTGTCGACAAAACTGAAAAAGAATCTTCCTCGAACATTGTGACGCTGCGTACGACTGAATTAAAAAAAAAAAAATAAAGAGATATATGAAAGCTCACAACCACCAAACCCCATTCGTCTCCTTCTCATCAATGTTCGAATCTCTTTCTCGTTGCATGGTTTGGTTACCTTATTATTCCTACGTTGTCTTTCGTGCCTTTTAAGTTGAGCTTCTGACTTTGTGTTATTCGTGTATATGTGTATGTATATATATGTATTCATAGCATTTCGACCGATGCTTCTTCAGTGCCAACGAGGCATCCATAAGGAGTGATATGTCTCGTATCAATGGTTTGCTCAGGTTTGACGCGAAAGAATGAAAGTTTTATCTGGGAGTTTTATCTTGAGATCTTTCGTGAGAATTTTTAACGTACGAGAGGCAAAAGAGCAGCACTGATCACTCGATAAAAAGTTTGTAAATTCTCAAGCACAGGTTAAATCCAAATGATGAATATTCACAAGAAATTAATTAATACTCTTCGACCAAATAAATTATTCACCTCTTTAGCACTGAAAAGCAGCGTTGACGAGACTGAGGTCGCGTTGACTGAATTTTCGACTTTATATTTCCAAGACATGTACAATGTACACGCACGAAGTACCAATATATTTAAACGAAGAAGTACTGCCACCTGAAACAACCAAGAACTTCGATCTTTGTAGATTTCATGAATTCTTGATTAGTACTAATAATTTTTTCCTTCATAAATATTAACTTATGAACATTTTGCAAATGACAGTACATTTTCGTTAGAAAAGTTCTAAATTAATAAACACTGCAAGACAAAGTACGAACTTCCAAAGTAATACTGTGGTAGATTGAAATTAGATTAGAGATAACAGTTGCTTTGTTGTTAGCGTGCCACGGAGCACAGTGGAAAAAAGTAATCACCTTAGTTTGACACGATCGAGCAGAGACAGCTATTGGATCGTTAACATTGTTGTTTCCTGACAGTCGATCGGCTGTTGTCCGTGGCCGCGTTGTCACGCATCTTGGCACCGGTCTGATGGGAGTGCGAGTCAGTACCAGCACACCCCTGGAAGGCTTTACCTTGACGAGAGACGACGGCTGGTTCGATCTCCTGGTGAACGGCGGTGGCGCGGTCACTTTACAATTTGGAAGATCGCCATTCAAACCGCAGAGCCACATTGTTTTTGTACCATGGAACGAGGTAATGCTACATTAAATATGTGATCGATAATTGCAAATTGTCACTGTATAAGTCGAATAAAGATTATCGAGAAGAATATGATAAGCAGATAGATTGCGGATTTTTAAGCATTTGTGGGAAATTCAAAATCAGAAAATATGAAAGTTTTTATTTTTGATGTAATTTAAATGTTCAAATATTAATATAGAACGTATAAATATTAACAAAAGAATATTTATAGTAAATAGTATAAAGTACAACATATGAAATGTAGTGTCATGTTTAAACTAACTTGAGCACCAAATGTCCTATGTTTACACAATAATCGATAAACAAACACATTTTTAATACATGAAATCTTATCTGTTCTAAAGGTGGTAATAATCGATAAGATAGTCATGAGCACCGCAGAAGAAAAGCAAACAAGCCACATTCCATACGCTTGTGCAGCGCACGATTACGACCTGATGAAACCGGTGGTCCTGGCAACGTGGAAGCACGGTTTCCAGGGAGCGTGCCCTGACAAAAGTGCTATTCTGGCCGAGTCCCAAGTTATACAAGAAAGCCTGCAAATACCTGGCACGGGTCTCAATCTCGTTTACCATAGCTCCAGAGCAGCCGGCTATCTCTCCACCATACAGCTGCAGTTGACCCCAGAAGTCATACCTCCAACCCTTAATCTAATTCATCTGAGAATCACAATCGAAGGAATTCTGTTCGAGAAAACCTTCGAAGCAGATCCAGTGATAAAATTCACTTATGCTTGGAATCGACTGAACGTGTATAGACAACGCGTTTATGGTGTCACCACTGCTATGGTGAAAGTTGGATACGAGTATAATGATTGCAAAGATATTATTTGGGATGTTCAAACAACGAAACTGAGTGGCCATGACATGTCTATTTCTGAAGTTGGAGGCTGGAATTTGGATATCCATCATAGATACAATTTCCACGAGGGGATTCTTCAGAAAGGAGATGGCTCGAATATTTATTTGAAACAAAAGCCTAGAGTGATTTTGACCACTATGGGCGATGGACATCAAAGGTCTCTGGATTGCTATGACTGCGATAGACAAGCAGAAGCTTCTAACCAGAGGCTTCTTGCACCCGTTGCTCTTGCAACTGCTTCTGATGGATCTATCTTTGTTGGGGACTTCAATCTTGTCAGAAAGATTCTTGTCGATGGCACTGTTAGAACTGTTGTTCGGCTCAAGTAAGTTTTCTACTGAATTTTGATGTATCTTTTCGTGAAATTTCAAGTTACCACGTGTGCCCTCACTCATGAATCTTGCCTTGAAATTGGAAAGAACTAGATAATTGTCAAGAAATACTAAGAGATATCGTTTAATTTCGCATTATTCTATTCGCATTTTATCACTCTTATTAATTGAAATACACGTAAACTACTTTTGATAAAACAAAATATGTCTTAAAATAGTTTTATAATCGAATTGAAAACAGTCTGTGTACAACAATATCTATAAGATTAAAATAATCAGAACTTTTTACGCAATCTCATCGCTTATGTGTTCTTTTTTACAGTGCAACAAGGGTATCCTACCGTTATCACATAGCCCTCAGCCCTCTAGACGGCTCCCTCTACATTTCTGACCCAGAATCACACCAAATCATTCGTGTGCGCGACACCAACGATTACTCTGAGCCCGATCACAACTGGGAAACAGTCGTCGGCTCTGGAGAACGTTGTCTTCCTGGCGACGAAGCTCATTGTGGCGACGGTGCTCTGGCCAGAGACGCTAAACTTGCCTATCCCAAAGGAGTAGCAGTCTCTGCAGATAACGTGCTCTATTTCGCCGATGGAACTAACATCAGAATGGTCGACAGAGACGGTATAATCACCACAGTAATTGGAAATCACATGCACAAGTCACACTGGAAGCCAATTCCTTGTGAGGGTACTTTAAACGTGGAAGAAGTTCATCTTCGTTGGCCTACAGAATTAGCAATCAATCCTCTGGACAACTCGTTACACATGATAGATGATCATATGGTGCTTCAATTGGCTCCTGATGGTCGTGTCAAGGTCGTTGCTGGACGTCCTCTTCACTGTGCTTCTCCATCTTCATCGTTTGACACTGAACTAGCTACACATGCTACCTTGGTGATGCCTCAGAGCATTGCATTTGGCCCTTCAGGAAATCTATATATAGCAGAAAGTGATTCTCAAAGGATTAATCGTGTGAGAGTGATTGGTACAGATGGTAAAATTTCACCATATGCTGGAGCGGAGTCCAAGTGTAATTGTTTGGAACGTGGTTGTGATTGTTTCGACGCTGACCATTATCTTGCTTCCACTTCGAAGTTTAATACGATATCTGCAGTTGCCGTTTCTCCTGATGGAGTGGTTCATATTGGTGATCAAGCGAATTACAGAATTCGATCCGTGATGGCCAGCATTCCTGATGCTAGTGGCGCTAGAGAGTATGAGATTTATTCTCCAGACACTCAAGAAATCTATGTATTCAATAGATTTGGTCAACATGTTGCTACCAAGAACATACTCACTGGAGAGATTGTTTATCAGTTTACTTACAATGTAAATACTAGCAATGGAAAGCTGAGCACTGTCACAGATGCAGCTGGGAATAAAGTATTCTTGTTAAGAGACTACAGTAGCCAGGTGAACTCCATTGAGAACACTAAGGGACAGAAGTGCAGGCTGAGGATGTCTAGAATGAAGATGTTGCACGAATTGAGCACTCCAGACAATTATAATGTAACCTTCGATTACCATGGACCCACTGGTTTATTGAAAACCAAATTAGACAGCACAGGAAGGAGTTATGTGTACAATTATGATGAATTTGGCAGGCTCACCTCTGCAGTCACTCCAACAGGCAAAGTGATCAGTCTGACTTTTGATCTAAGTTTGAAAGGAGCAGTTGTGAAGGTTGGACAGAATAATAGAAAACCAATCTCAATGCTCATCAAAGGATCGTCTGTGGTTACGAAGGTTGGAGAGGCTGAGCAGAGAACAACAGTTCTTTCTGATGGTTCAGTGGGTCAGGTCACACCATGGGCTCATACTGTCAGTACGGATACCTTACCATACTCAGTATTGGCGGAAATAGAACCATTGTTAGGTGAAAGCTACCCAGTTCCTGCTAAGCAGAGAACAGAGATCGCTGGGGATTTAGCAAACAGATTCGAATGGCGATACTTTCTCAGAAAGTTTCAAGGGAATAAATATAGAAGCGAATCGAAGACTGTGGCACAAGTTGGTAGAAAGCTTCGCATCAACGGGGACATTTTATTGTCTCTTGAATACGATAGAGAAACTAACAGCGTGGCAGTGTTCATGGATGATGATGCGGAGCTTTTAAATGTCACCTATGACAGAACAGCAAGACCAGTTAAATGGGGACCCAGAAATGGAATCTTCTCCGGTGTAGAGCTTGAATATGATCGTTTTAGTAGATTGACAAGCTGGACCTGGGGAGATATCAGTGAAACCTATGGCTTTGATAGAGCTGGAAGATTATACGAAATTAAATATAGTGATGGAACATCCATGGTGTATGCATTTAAGGACATGTTCAGTAGTCTTCCACTGAAAGTAACTACACCAAGAGGAAGTGATTATTTGTTGCAATATGATGAAGCTGGAGCACTGCAGTCGTTAACCACTCCTAGAGGACATATTCATGCGTTCTCACTACAGACTTCTCTTGGGTTCTATAAATATCAGTACTACTCGCCGATGAACAGACATCCGTACGAGATTTTGTATAATGACGATGGACAGATCTTGGCGAAAGTGTACCCGCATCAGAGTGGCAAGGTTGCTTACGTTTATGATCACACTGGGAAGCTGGAAACTACTCTTGCTGGTAAGTGATACTCATTATGATCATAATTACTTATAGTATTAAATACCAATACACAAAAAAATAACGATTATAAATATTGTTTATTGCAATTCATCGATGTTAGTTAACTTTTCAGTGTAAAAGAAGAAAATTTCTTTCAATGATTTTTTTTCAACAACACGTACTTTTAATAGATTTAATGTTTAGTGGAATCATATATACTATATCACTAATACTTTTAATCTGTAAGAATTTACTACGCTATATGCACCCATAAAACTCATCATCTATCTTCGTTAATGTTCCCTAAATTTATTAAATCTCAAATATCCCCATACAGGACTGTCTTCGATCCACTACACGTATCAAGAAACCACGAGCCTCGTCCATAGCATCGACATTAACGAACCCAATTTCGAGATGCGTATAGAGTACAAATATCACGCAGGAATCGTTAAAGATGAAAAGATCAAATTCGGTAGCAAAAGTGGCTTGGACAACGCACGCTATCGTTACCAATACGATGGCAATGCCAGGATATCCGGTATCGAAGTTGACATCAACGGCAAACAACTTCCACAATTACGTCTGAAATACAACCAAAACCTGGGAATATTGGAAGGCGTAGGAGATCTCAGAATATATAGAAATCTCTTTAACAGATCTGTAATGCAAGATAGTAGCAAACAATTCTTCACCGTCACTGATTATGACGAGCATGGTCGAGTTAAAACAGTTTTGATGAACATTAGATCATTGGATGTATTTAGAATGGAACTCGAATATGATAACCGAAATCGTATAAAGATGAGAAAATTGTCTATTGGAAAAGATGCCATGGAGAAGAAAGAATGGACAAAGATGGAGAAGATAACTTATAATGCTGACGGACATGTTTTAGAAGTTGCTGATACTGAGAATAATTGGCAATATGCTTATGATGAAAATGGTAATGTGATTGGAGTTACAGAACATAATGAGAAGATCGCATTAGGTTATGATAGTGGAGATCGGGTTGTTCAATACGGTGACGTCGAGT